CTGACAGAAATGGCTCCACACCTGTGCCTGCAGCAGTCTACGGGGCACTCAGTCTCATCTAAGCTTGAGCTTCCAATCAGTCATGGGGCAATGCTGACCTGGCCCTGAACTGCTTCCTCCTGTAAAGGGAAGTCTTGTATTTGTGAAATTGGAGCACATATATCTGGTTTTGTTCCCTCCCAAAACCCAGCTAAAAGGACAGCTTTTAAAGCATAAATTGTTAAGAACAGGGAGATAGATTAGGCCACACAGATGCAAGATAAATGGCCCAAGAGACCCAGAACACTGCATTCTAGCCAAAGTACAGGAAGCTCAGAACCAACACAGCCCACCCACCCCACACACACCCTGAACCCCTAAGAACTATCAATACAAGATTCTGCTGGAGATGAACAAGTTAAAAAAAAAAAAAGACATCAAGTAGAAAGTATTTTCAGAAGCCAGAAGATACCCAAGACCCCCCCCTACCCTGATCTAGGTGCTGGTAGAGATGACAGAAGCCATCCCTTCTGTCTCTGGAGGACACCTCAAGCTTCATTCTCTGGAAAGGATCAGAGAGAGGGTCTTCAGGCTTGGAGAGAAGGCCCTGCCATGGGAGGAGTTCCTATACAAATACAGAGGTAAGTCCTGAGGCACTGACACCTGTGACATCAGGACAGTACTAGCCCAGCAGGCCAGTGGCCCAGACAGTCCCCCTGAGAAGAAGAGAGCATCTTCTCAGGGGTGACCAGCTCATGCCACTATCACCTGTGGAACTAACATCATAGGAATAGCCTTGGTCCCACCTTCTTGAGGCTGGATGAGCTGTTGTGCTCTCTCTCTGTTCTGCCACATATAAGTGAGGCCTACCAAGTCCTGTGGGCTTACCCTAAGAATCCCAGGGTATTATGATAAATGAAGAGTGAATATTTATCTGAAGGGGCTAAGGACTTGGGACCCTAAATCCAGGCTCCCAGAACCTCTCAGAATCCTGAAGCTGGAGGAACAGAGCTTGGATAACCTAAAAGTCCTGAAGGTCAAAGTAGTCTCCTTAAACTTGAGGTTCTTTAAAAATCAAGAGTTCTCTAGGGCTGGGAAGGTGGCTCAGTGGTAGAGCGCTTGCCTTGCATGCATGAGTCCCTGGGTTTGATTCCTTAGCACCACATAAGCAGAAAAAAAAAAGCCGGAAGTGGTGCTGTGGCTCAAGTGGTAGAGCGCTAGCCTTGAGCTGAAGAGCTGAGGGACAGCGCCCAGGCCCAGAGTTCAGGCCCCATGACCGGACCCAAAAAAAAAAGTTCTCCACCCCGGCATTCCTTGTACCTGATGCTCCTCTCCAGGAACTATACCCATGCTATGCTGCCAGCCATGCCTCAAACACTGTCTCTCTTAGAAGTCTTGGTAGAGCCCACATTGGTCAACTCTCTTCATGTCACCGTGGTCACAGTAGTGCAGCCCTCACCATGGCCAGCCCTGGGCCTGAGCCACCAAAGGTGACACTCCTACAGGCTGGAGACCCGGAGCAAGGCAAACCAGGACTCAATTTGGAGCCTAACTGGTCTCTGCTCTTGTTTTCAGCTGACCAACAGTCCTCTGCTTATGAGTAGACATCTTGTCTGGGCTGTGGCCCCGCATCCCTGTCCCAACTTCCATAGCCCTCCATGCTTTCTGACTACACCCCAGCTGCAGCTGGAGACCAAATCTCCAGCGTCTTTCTCCCACCCACATCATGTTTGCAGTTCTTTAGACCACTTAGGAATTTCCCAGAGACTATAGGCAGAACAATATGTTGTCAGACCCCAGCAGAGCTCACTGATTATGAAGACCAACACACTGCTTTCACATGCCGCTGTGGTTCTTCATTACTATCCTTTGGAATTGTGTGGAAGCCTCTCTTTTGGGGCAGTGCTGGGGATTGAACTCAGGGCCTCACATTTGTTAGGCAAGTACTCTACCACTTGAGCCATGCCCCCAACACATGGAATCTGTTTAAGTAAACCCTACACCCATGCCCTTGTGCCATTGGGAAGAAACTCTGATCTGAGGGGCTGGAGGTGGTTGACTTCTCTGATGTGTAGTGTTTCAAGGTCTGGATGGACAAAGGGAAAAGAAGCAACGACTGTGGGCAGGACTAAGGAGCCAAGCTCCCGCTGGAGCTGGGTAATGGCCCTTCACTCCTAGGGCATCTCACATCTACAGTCCTGCCCTTGGTTACTTACCATCAGCAGGCAGCCACAGTGGGTCTAGGCAGCTCTCCTTCCACTTCTTGCTCCCAGGAAGGACTGTGACAACCCCTACCTCTCTGGCCAGCAGCCCTGCCACTAGAATGATTCTTCTCTGCTAATCAGCCTTCCCTGGACATGGCCCCCATCTTAGTACCTACTAGGCCAGCATGAGAGATTACAACTCCTGGCCATTAGCTCTGTCTCCAGTTGGGGCCTCAGCAAAAGGCCCTTCTTCGTGGATGACACACCAGTTTGGGCTAGCACTAGGCCCAGCCACGCTCAACAGTGAGTGCCCCAGTGGCCTAGGCTCTGTCTGACAGAAGCAGAAGTGAGAAACACAGCCCAGACTTTCTAAGAATTGATCAGGGAAGATTGATCATTTGTCTTCAGACCAGAGGAGACGCCAACCTGCCTCCAGGTCCAGACTCACAAGGAAAACACATGACTGCGGTTCAGGAGGATGTGATTTGAAGACTCACATGCAAATCTGACTCTGTCCACCTGACAAAAAAGTGTGGTGATGGGAAAAGTGCTTCTGCAAGACAAAAAACTAACACAGGTGAGCTCAAAGATAAAAGGGAGTCATTATCTCACACTCGGGGAATCCAAGTGTAGACTACCTTCAGACATGGGTGGGTCCAGGAGCTCTGAGGAAGTCATCAGACATCTCGGTCTTTCTCTATTCCACTTTGTTTCCCAGCTCCACATCCCTCCATAATATCTGAATTCTCATCTATTCACGACTAGGAGAGATGGCATGGCCAGACCAATTGTGTAATACTTTTTCCCCAACCCTAAAGAAAACTCCTAGGAAGAATCCTGATTTGCACATGCCTGGCTTTATGGAAAGGGCTAAGATACAATGTCTTAGACCTAACAGAACCACACCTGGGGGTAGGTAGCTCCAGAAGAAATGTTAGGTGAACCAGTCCAGGAGGTTACACATATAGAATCAGGGACAGAAGAACCCTACCCACAATGACCACCCACCCACCACTCCCAGTGGGCAAGGAACAGAGTAGCATCTTCCCTACAGACCACAGCACCAATTCACAGTCAGACTTTTATTAGGAAATCACCCTCCAAACACACCACAAAGTGCTGTGGGTCCAACGCATTTCCTGAGGAAAGAGGGTCACAGTATTGGAGCGTCAGGGGACCGGACAGCGGCGCAATCTGTGAGTCTTAACAACTCCGTGGGGCTGACTGTGGCCAGCACTCTCTCACAGCAACATGACTCAGCCAGAAGAACCGCCACAAACGCGACACAAGAAGCACACCAGAGCACACACGTCTGCTCTACAATTAAATAATAATAAATACAGAATTCTGCTTGCTGTTATTGGCCTGAAATAACGGAACCCAAAAGGGAAAAGAAAATCAGAACATCTTTCTCTCCATTTGACCAAGGGGGAAAAAAATCCCCAAATTATCAAAATTCCTCAGTTACAAAATACTTTTTTTAAAAATTCCATTATTAAAAGAATAAATAACAAAATATATAAAAAATAACTCGATTGCATCAAAATTATAACTAGAGGTTATCAAGATTTTTTTGTGGCCTATCTTATAGTCAAATAGTTGGTTTTGCCTTGATTTTACTTATTTTGCTCTTATGGTACCCTAGTGTGGAGTCGATTTGAGATAGTATAAAATTAATAAATAAAAATGTTAAATAAATAGCAAATGTTAACATAAGAAGGTGTGAATATAAATACTTACATCCCGACAAAATTAAATAATTTACAGAATAATTAAGCTAACTACTTTCAGTGTTTTCCAGGAAGTGCAACTTCTCTACTTTTAAATACTAATTCGAAATTGCTGTCACAATCGACTTGGACTCTATTTACACAGTAGGAACATTGTGTTTTTAACATTTTAAATTAAATTTACCTTTTTTCTTCCTCTTGAATGGATCTTAAAAGAAGTGAAACCTTGGCGATCTCCCACTAGGAATTTACTTCCTGACATTACTGTCTCCACCTTGATCCCCTTGAACACAGAGATGGACCACAGCCATGACCCAAGTAAGGTGGCAGTAATGGGCCAGGGGCCTAGGTAGAGGGAAGGAAGCCAAAGTCCTGGCCTGGAGCCCAAACTCAGGGACTTAAACACTGACATCAGGAGAAATCTGTGCAGTCTCTGGGCACTAGCTGCCTGCATAGGAGACTTTTTAGGGACCTCTGGTTTAAAATCCCTTGAACTGACTGGGCCATAATGCTCTTCAACTGTCTGGACCATTGTCTGGAAGGCCTGTTCCTAGCTTCACCTCTTAAGCAGAGTGTTGCCCACCCTTGACACAAAGCTGAATTAAATAAAAAGAGAAAAAAACATGCCACAAGGACCTTGCTGAGCACAGACACATGGCCCAGGTATGTCTTCCAGGTGAGACTCCCACCCACTGAGCCAATGGCTACCCTCCCAGCCTCGACAGACAAAGGAATACTGTGGCTGCAAACTCCAAAACTTCCCTGAGAACCTTGTCCGTGAGCTTCCACTGGAGACTTTGAGCTGTTCTTCAAATTTCTTTCAGAAAACAAAAATAAATCACTTTGTAACACTTCGGTACCCCAGGCACTCACGTGGGAGGTGTTGGCCTGAGCCTGGTGGGGCATCACGAGAGACACTGGTTTCCAGGTGCCCCTTTGGATAAATCCACGGAAGGCTGCACAAGGCTGCCGACGTGGACTGACAACTAGAAGTCACCAACAAACAGTCAGGTGCTCTTACTGTGAGGGGTAGGGTGGGTGCGTGAGCACCGGAGCAAAGGAGGAGTGCACCTCCACCCAGCATTGCCTAGACCTGGATGCCCCTCACAGCCTGCTTGATGGTCTCCAGGAGGCCCTTGTTCTCGGGATTCTGGTAGCAGTCCTGGTTGGAGTACATGTCAGTCAGGGTGCTCACATAGGCGTCAAAATTCTGTTCGCATATTGGCTCCTAGAGGATAGAGTCAGGTTAGCAAGCCCTGTCCACAGAGTCAGCTCCAGGAAGCAGAAAGCAGTGAGCATCAGCCTCAGTCCCCACACTATCCTAAAAAAAGCCCAGCAAGGCAGTGCAGCAGCTGTGGCTGCTGAAACACAAGTGATCTCAGCCACAGTGACCTCTTGCCACCAGAACCACACTCTGCTCCAGATTTATGAGCCAGTCAGGAGGGCTGGAGCCATGGCATACAGCTGCCCAGGCCAGTTGGAAAGTAGAGAACATCCAAAAAGGGCCCAGGACCCTTCCATTAGGACCCAGAAGCAGAAGGGCCAGGGGCATACTGTCTCCCTGCCCTCCAAAGCATCCTTCGGGTAGCTACCAGCTTTGGGGTAGTGCCAGCAGGCTGCTGTTACCTACCATGTGAGGAAGGCGGATATTGGCAAGACTTTGGATGAGGGCCTGACTCAGCCCAGACAGCTCCAGAAACAGAGCTTCATTCTGCTCCTCAATGAGCTTGTTTTCCTCCTCGATGTTCTTCAGGTTCCTCTCCATGGAAGAGATCTGCATCAGAGGAATGAGAGGTGCTGCCTGTCCTGGGCCCTGCTGGGCCCACTGGCCGTACCATACATCTCTCTCTGAGAGAGGATGGGTTCCAGAGGTGGGAACTCTCTACCCTGTGGGGGTCCCTCATCCAAGGAAGGGGCAGTCAGTACCCAGCTTCCTGGATGGGTGAAACAAAGGCCCTCCAGGAACAACAAGAGTCCAAGGAAATGGGAATGAATGCTGACTGTGCCGGGAAGTATAGGAGGCCCCACCTATCCTTAGAGCAGGACAAGGTCACAGACTCTTGGGCGTCCTGGATTCAATCTCAATCTACACCAGTTGTGTTTTTACTTCATCAAGCTCCCTATTTCTGTCTGAAGCTTGGTGGGGCTAGCTTTCCTTTCTTTGCAGGTGACCTCTGCCTCTGAGTCTTTCCATCTCTCAAAAGATAACAAAGGTCACCCAAAAGGCTAGCCTCTCCCAAGCCTCCAGACACATCTTCTCCAGGTCTCAGCCCAACCATATATTCCCAAGGAGCTCAGGGGAAGAGGGGAGGAGGTGCTGAGTTCAGTCGTAAGGCCATGTGTGGCACTATACAGCAACAGCAAACTCTCTTTGGGAGTTACAGATGGGCCCAAGTAGTTTCCTACCACTGCATGATAAACATATGACTTTAAGGACTGCATGGGACACAAACTTGCTTTCTCTTCACCTTGGTCCTTCCAGAGATAGCATGGGACTTCCTCAGGGGGATGGCAAAGAAAAAGGGATTCTAATGAAAGGCAACAGAATCTGGTGTGTGTGTGTGTGTGTGTGTGTGTGTGTGTGTGTGTGTGTGTGTGCGCACGCACACGTGCACACATGTGTGTGCACATATGCACACATGCACACACACACACCAGTCCTGAAGCTTGAACTCAGGGTCTGGGCATTGGCTTTCAGCTTTTTGCTCAATGCTAGCACTTTACCACTCGAGCCATAGCTTTTTGGTGGGTAATTGGAGGTAAGAGACTCATTGGCTTTACTGTCTGGGCTGGCTTTGAACTGTGATCCTTAGGTCTCAGCCTCCTGAGTAGCTAGGAATCCAGGCGTGAGCCAACAGCATCCAGCTAAAATCTGTCTTTTAAAAGGTATGTTATAGAGAGGGAAGGAAGGAGTGACATTACCCAAAAAGAAATGTACTCTTTACTTGACTTTTGTCACTGTAACCCCTTTGCACATCACCTTTATAATAACAATTTGAAAAATAAAAGGTATGCTTGGCTGCATTTTGTTTTGGTTTTTGTTCCATGGTGTCAGTTCCTATGTTGCCCAAGCTGTACTTGAACTCACAGGCTCCAATGATCCTCTTGTCTCAGCCTCCTGAGAAGCTGGGACCATAGGTGTGCACCCCATGCCTGACTCTAAAGGTGGATTTGAAGAAATAATAGGTACTCTCCCAAAGGCACTACCACTGACAAGAGCCCTGGAGACTCGGAGAGGAAAGGAGGGAGTAGCCAGCCCTATCTCCCAACCAGAGATACCAGTAGGAGATTGGAAAGATGTGGGACAGGAGGCCCTATCCCTCCTGTCCTCACACCCAAGTGGCCTGGGGACTCCACATGAACATACAGAAGGCTGTGAAAACACATTCTGAGCTCCAGAATTGGTACTATCCAAGCTCTTGAGCAGCCAGATGTCATCATGCCAGAAGAGAAATAAGCTGTGGAGCTACAACATGTCATATATCTGCTGCTCCCAAGAAGGGGCCTCACCCCCTCACATCCATCCCCGCTGATCTAGAAGGGGCCTCGCCCCCTCACATCCATCCCCGCTGATCTAGAAGGGGCCTCGCCCCCTCACATCCATCCCCGCTGATCTAGAAGGGGATCTACCCCCACTCCCTAGGGAGACTGGCCTGTTATTTATTCCTTTGCTCCTACAGCTACTCAGGGACATCCCTTTTTGCTTTCAAAATGAGAATGTTTTTCTCTCCGATTACAAGTGTTCATTTGGGGAAAACAGAGCAATAAGATACACTTATCTAAGGAATGTGTAACACCAGTGTGTACTCACCAATGCTCAAGCTGAAAACTTCCCTCAGTGAAGTGAGTCCCTGAACAACATAATGGAAAGGGACCTGCACTCATCTCTGCTCCACAGAAGAACAAACAGGAACAAAGAAGTGTGTGTCTGTGTTGGTCCAAGCCCAGGCACCACCTGAATTCGCTATCAAAACTAAAAGACTAAGCCAAGTGTTGGTGGCTCATGTCTGTAATCCTAGCTACTCAAGAGGCTGAGATTTGAGGATCACGGTTCAAATCCAATCTGGGCAGGAAAGTCCATAGACTCTTATCTCCAATAAATCACTCAGAAAAAGTCAGAAGTGGTACTGTGGCTCATGTGTTAGAGCCTCAGCCTTGACCATGAAGAAACTCTGGGACAGTGCCCAGGCTCTGTTCAAGCCCCAAGACTAGCAAAACAAACAAACTAACTAACAAACACCTCTGAAGACTGGGAACTTGAACAGGATTACTAAGGTTAGTGCTAGTGGATTCACACTACTCAAACAAATGAAACTAACTCAAGAGAATAACTAATACTAATGGGTCAGGCCACCTGTGGAGTGAGATCCCACCACACCACCACAGGATGAGTGGACAGCCTACCAGCACACATTGAGTACTGTGTGATGGGCATGGTACTGTCAGGCAGCTCAGTCCCAACCACACCAATGGATTCACAAAGTCACTAGGAAGACAATCAGCTCAGTCTCAACCTCAGAAGTGGACTTTAATGCCAGGTGCTGGTGGCTCAAGCCTATATTCCTAGCTACTCAGGAGGCTGAGATCTGAGGATCGCAGTTCAAAGCCAGCCTGGGCAGGAAAAGCCATAAAACTTCTCCAATAATCCACCAAAAAACAGAAAGTGGCGCTGTGGCTCAAGTGGCTTGAGCTGAAGAGCTCAGGGACAGTGCCCAGGCCCAGAGTTCAAGTCCCATGTCTGATGAGGAGGAGGAGGAAAAAGAAGAGAAGGGGGAGGAGGAGGAGGAGGAAGAGGAGGAGGGGGAAGTAAACTTCACACAGTCCCAAGGTTGGCTTCTGCTAGAAAGAGTCAGGCAAGGCCAGTGCCACCCACCTGGGACTGCAGCTGCACCATGGCAGCCTCCATCTCTGAGTTGGACTCATTCAGATCTCGGATCTCCTGGTTCAGCTGCTTGATCTCCTCGTCGTTTTCCAGCACTGCCAGAAAGAAAGCTCAGCTGTGTCTCTGGTCTTAAACCCAGACCAGCCAGTGGGATATAGAAGCGCCTAAGGCCCACCCGCCTGCCCCAGATGAACTCTGGGGCCTGGGCATTGGGAAGCTTCTGTGGAACCACAATGTGAGGCTTGTGTGACTCCTGGCTGGAGCCAGTTGGGGGGACACAGGTCTCTTTGGAGGTATTAATGTCCAGAAATGCTGTCTCTATACTAGATGAGGCGCGCTCTCCAAAAACAGATTGGCATGGACGCTGGCGCTACCAACAGATTCTCATACCAAAAGTAACCAAATCTGAGGTCAGTGCTGCCATGACCATCGAGGCCAGGTGTCTAGGGCTTTCAGAGCCAAGGTCAGTAGGCCCATCAACACATGCAAGGACATGTTCCCAGAAGACCTTGCCCTCCCCAACCCCTTTCCTGCCAGTACAAAAAGGTTAGTGAGCAGGGACATCCCAAAGTGTACCCTTACCTTCACTGGTTTTGAATTTAGGATTGAGAACCTCATCCCCTGAGAGTTTTCCCTTTTTTCCAGCAAACGTTGCTCTGGGACAGCCAGACAAACTGGAAGCAGAGGTCACACATCACTAAGCGGTCTGGGGGCTGAGTCCACAGACCAGTCCAGGGTCCCACAAAATGACCAGGATCAGCCCAAGGCACATTCTCTCTCCTCCAAAAGACCCTAAGGACCTCCTTATGGCAGATGGTCTCCCACTGCTCCTGCCTGCCCTGCCTGAGGACAGCACAAATACCCAGGCAGGTACCCTCAGGGCCTGTCCCATCTGGCACAACTGTGGCTGGCCACAAGGATCTGGAGGGACCCGGATGTTATTCTCCCCAGGAGCTTCTACCCTAGGGCCTGAGGCATTGCTTGCTAGTGCTTTACAGCACTGACCTCTCACAGACGACAACCCCTCACTCTGGAGAGACTCTAGGGTGCGGGAGCACTAAAATTCATGGATGATTCCTTAGATACCGATAATCAAGCAGAAAAATGAATTGAAAGTGCAAATTTTCAAGCATGATTTCCTTTTGTCTCGATGACTTAACATCATAAAGGGACCGACCTGGTCTAGGCCCCTACAGCCTTCACTCTGGCCTTTCAGGCCTCTCCCCTGCAATCTGGACCCTACAGCCATCCCGTGGTCCAAGGGAGATCCTGTCTCTCTTCTGCTCCGCCAGGTTACCAAGGCAGCCTGGTCAGACCCTGGCTTACATGTTTCCGCCTCCTCTCCTTTGACCATCCTCTACTTGACCCAGCAGGCCATCCTTATCCAGCTCTAGCCACTCAGACAAGCTTCTTCTCAGCATGCCTCCTTGCCTACTTCCCTGCTGTTTTCCCCAGAACCATGACGGATATCCACCACACTAAGTAACTTCCTCTTTCATTTATAGTCTGTCAGACTGTCCAAAACAAGGGCAAGGGCTGGTGTCCTTCTGTTCTCTGCTGTATTTCTAGCTCTAGGTTCTAGGTGGGCTCACAGTAAATGTTTTTGTTGAAAGAATGCATTTTCTGGGTGCCAGTGGTTCATGCCTATAATCCTAGCTACTCAGGAGGCTAAAATCTGAGGATCACAGTTCCAAGCCAGCCTGGGCACAAAAGTCTGCAAAACTCTCCTCTCCAATTAAGCACCCAAAAAAGCTGGACGTAGAGCTGTGGATCAAGTGGTAGAATGCTATTTTTGAGCAAATGAGCTAAGGGGCAGCACCCAGGCACTGAATTCAAGCCCCAAGACCAGCACTGATTAATTAATTAATTAATTTAAAATGAATAGATAATGCATTAATTATATAGGTGAAGGAAGGAGGGGGAGAGGAAAAAGAAGTATGGAGAAGCATGGGCACTGGCCCCAAGACCACACACAGATTTGGACAAGATCTGGCACTGACGCCATGTCCTTGACCATCATTGTGACTGCCCAAGACAGAGACAGAAAGGGTGGGGGTTGCTGATGAAACAACACACACACACACACACACACACACGAGTCCTGGGGCAGATAGGGGCAGGTAAGAACCGTGAGCATTGCCTAGTTATACTGACAGACAAGACTCTATTCACCAAGTTGTTTGCAAAGCAGACAGGCACCTCTGCCCAAAGTTCAAAGAACAGACCCCAGTGGGGGAGGGTTGGGGAGTGAGGTATGAAAAACAAACTTTTTCTGAAAAATTGGCAGTCTGTAAGAAAACTTGAACACAGACAGGGTTGTAAGAGGCCACTTAAACTGAGCTTTTAGTCAGGTGCCAGTAGCTCACATTTGTAATACAGCTACTAAGAGGCTAAGACCTGAAGATCAAGGTTCAATGCCAAGCTGGACAAACAAATCTGTGAGACTCTTATCCCCAATTAACCAGCAAAGGCCAAGAGTGGAGGTGTGGCTCAAGTGGTAGAGCACCAGCCTAAAGCAAAACAGCCAAGCAAGAGTATAGTATAGTATGAGGCTCTCTGTGTAAGCCCCATTACCAGCACGTGCGCGCACACACACACACACGCACACACACGCAGATGTTTTTGCAGGGCTTGTGAATTAACTAAAAGCTAAACACTCAACACACCACCACTACTACCACTACCACCACTTTGCCTATCTCTGCCCTTTGATCTGAGCCATTCCAAGCTCTAGTCACTTTAAAAGCATCTCCTAGAAGAACAGGATTCACTGATAAGCATCTGAGACAAAAGACAAATATGCAATGCTCTCTGGTACCTATGACCTTAAAAAGCTTTAACTGTGCATATCATTCTCACCCTGCCCCCTGGGGCCAATGTGTGGTACCAGTAAAGAGGTGGGAGATTTACTGAAGTGCTGTGTTGCCATGTCTCTTTATGGCCATGTTGGGGGACAAGCAGCTACATCTGAGACTCCTGGAGTGTGGGTTTCAAGGGCTCTGGTCTTAACTTGGTCTCCAGGTCCAGTGTGATACTCCCTGGAGGAACATCAGAGCCTGGAGGGAGGCTTAGGAAGCAGATAGATCCTTGGCTCCCCCATTCAGTTGCCCACTTGGGCCTTGCTTTTTCCTTCCACACCCAACTCTAGTCTTTCCCGGAACCCCCAGGTCATGTCCCAACAAGGCCACACCCCTACTTGCTGACAGAGAGAGCAGGGCCTGTGGGGAGGTACCTCCGGTGGGTGAGGAAGCCACCATTGGCATGGCCAGAGCCGTCACAGCCTGGAGTAGGGCAAGTGGGGCCCTCATTCTTCAGCGATTTCCAGGAGAAGGACGAGCCGTTGAGCGAGCCCTCTTTCTGCCGCCGGGCAGCCAGAGGGCAGCCAGATGCACTTCTGTGAGAGGCATATTTGCCACTGATGTGGCCAAGCCCCACACAGCCTGGAACCGGGCACCTGGACACAGAAAGGCCAAAGTAACTATAGGAGTACAGGGTAGAATTTATGGAAGACCAGCCAAGCCAGACCCAGGAGACCCAGCCTCATACAGAGAGGGCTTCTGAGAAAGTCAGGAGGATAGCAGAATCCCAGAGCCAGGGGAAAGTCTGGCCTTCTTTCTCCATATACAGCAGAAAGGCCTGCAGATCAGGAAAACGAGGGAGACTGAGCTTAATGAAGCAGCTCAGGGACAGCGGGGGCTGCCATCCACAATCTAGGGCTGACTGGCCAGGGTGTGGTAGCTTTTACAGCAACACAGCGCTCAGGTGGAAAAGACTTTGCTGAGACATCCCATAATCATCCTGCCCGCGGCTGGCCAGGGGCAGCATTTTCCTTCCTGCCAGGTATTCAGGGTCGGGAAAGAGTGATTGTCCTTGCACCTTAGGGAGTGCCTGGACTAGTGAGATCTGGGGGACAGGGCCATCCAGGGTAAGACTCCACTCTTCACACTTCCAGTTCTCCCAACAAATGAAACAAATGAGGCACCACGTGTCATACACTGACTGTGTGCTGAGCACACAGCACACACACTAGACAGAGGGCACTGCTGGCCCACTTACAGAGGTCAGGGCGCCTTCAGGAAGAGTGAGAGCCAGCAGCAGAGACTTCCAGTTCTCCCAACAAATGAAACAAATGAGGCACCACGTGTCATACACTGACTGTGTGCTGCGCACACAGCACACACACTAGACAGAGGGCACTGCTGGCCCACTTGGGGTCCAGGTCAGGGCGCCTTCAGGAAGAGTGAGAGCCAGCAGCAGAGACTTCTGCTGTGGGTCACAGGGCCGGCCCTCGAGGGGGTAAGTCAACAGTGCCAGGTCATCTCAAGCTCCAGTCCCGACAAAAGCCGCATGAGGGCTTCAGGCAGCTCGTGTGCAATGCCCAGCCCCTCAAACCTGGATGACTCCTAGCTGAGGGCCCAGGACACCTGGGACAAACACAGCCAACCTCAAGATGAGAGTTTGACATGGAAAAAGGTTATCTGCTGATGCCCTGACATCACAAGTTCAAATGACCAGATGAGAGGTGGCTCTTTGGTCACTCTGTACAGCAAATTCAATTTCTTCTTACCCACTTCTTGCAAAACTCTGAACCTCCCTGCCAATGGTTGTTGTTGGTGTTCACTGGGATTGCTTCCACGTATTCAGGTGTGGTTCCCTTCTCTTTATGCCTGCATTGAATCCTCAGAATTACCAGGTAACATCACATTGAGCCGTGTATGGGGCATGAGCTGGCAAACGTTTCTGCTACTCAGGAAAGCTGCCATGTACTAGAGCACATGGTGGGGTGCAGTGTGTAGTGACATGAGATCTGGAGCAAGAACAGCAGGAGCCAGAGCATTTTACATGTCAGACACAGGGCGCCGGGCAGTGATGGACCTTCTCAGGGCAGTAGGGGACACAGCAGTGTAAGTATCACTACCTGAGTCCCACACTAGAACATCTTTTGACTTCTATAACAATTTATAAAGCTTTAGCACCTGGGATTCACCACAGAATGCTGACATAAATCACAAACAGTGCAAACATGAGAAGTCAAGAATTAAAACTCGTCAGCATCTCCTACAAAATCACAGCTCCACTCAGCTAACAGAACTCATCCCTCAAGGAGACCTGGTGCACCCATTAGGATTTCTACTTTACTTGGAACTAAAGATGCTAGTGAACTGTAAATATGACTGGTTTATGGCTGAGAGAAGGCCCTAAAATTTGGGGTACTAGCAGGCACCCCGCCTTTTGCTGTGTAGCCATTAAGAACTTTGTCTATCCTACAAACACTAGAGCACCAGTCTCCACTTGGCCTCAGAACTCTTGCTTTTTGTTTTTTTTAATCAAGGCTGACAGCACAGTAGAGAAGGAAAACAATTTTCCCAGTTAGTATGAAAAGATGCCAAACTTTGTAAGGTCCATTCCTGGATGGCGAACAGACCCCGCCCAGTACCTGCATTACCTAGGCAACTGGGACACCTGGAAGAGATCACATCTACATCCACTGAGGTCACATCTGAATCTGATGTGGCCACACCTTTCTCCCACCTGGTCCCACCTCTTACCTGGTCCCATTTCCCTTTACCTGGACACACTTTCCCCCCACCCCTACCCTATATAAGGCCTAACCCAGGGCCAGACTCCCTCTTTTGCCAGCCATGTGGAGTGCCAACCTTGCCTGGTCCCAGCAGGTCTACTAAATAAACCTACCCCTTACCTGAATACCACGTGTGTGGTGCTGTTCTTACTTGGCTACCTCTTTTTAAAAACCTAACAAATATCATTTTCAAATGCAGCACAATTCATTCCTATAATTCTTACCAGTAGAATTCTTACTCAGTCCATAAAGGCATTACATTCCTATGATCACAGAAAATTCTTGATTCTCGAGAGGAAAAATAATTTTTATATAACCCAGAATATAGTATATAGCATTTATAATACCAATAACCACATTTTTGCACCATTAATTGAACATTCACTGTATTATCGTGGTAAAATTTATATATATATATATATATATATATATATATATATATATATATAAGCTTTATTAGGCCAAACAACAGTTAAAGGGATGAGCCCTTCTGAAGACTGTGATGTTGGCTGGGCCCTTCTCTGTGTCCGGGTAGATGGTGGGCACAGCAGAAGCAAGCTCCAAGGAAGAGTGAAATCTCATGCCAAGTTGCTCCTCTTTACAAGTGAATTCTTTTGCTGCTATGAGCCCCTCTGAAGACAGTGGGCCCAGCCCCAAACAAGCCAGCTCAAAGCACTGGACAACCAAGACGCCCTGGGCAACTAAGCCTATTGACCTACTGTTGACCCATTACCCACTCTGCTAGGAGTCAGCTCTGACATTCCCATGCCCTGGGAAAATCAGCCAGTCAGTTGCCTTATCTGAGCCTATGACAGCCTGGGCCCCTAAACACATACTTGCAAATGGGTGCTGAAGAGGACTGGTTCCCTACAGGGAGAAGAAGGAACCCTGCAATGGCGTTAAGTCCCATCCAAGTGGGTCACACAAGGAGCCAAACACCTTCCTCAAAGACATATCATCCTCTACCCTGCCCATGAGAAGGACAGTTTCGGGCTACACTTTTTTGCCTTAGGAGCTTGGGCCATGCAAAGCCAAGGGTGTCTTCTGTCTTCCCTAGCAGGATCCAGTTAGAGACACGTAACTGGTCTATCTGACCTTTCCTACCGTGCAGTAGTGCACATTGCAAGCCCTGCAGGTGTCCTAGAACCATCCTTAGGCATCAGAGTAGTTAGTCTCCTCTCAGCCTCGTCAAACACCTCTGACCTGAGCCTAAAAGGACCAGCACACAGGATATGATTGTAACACCCAGACATCCATATACCAGGTTCAAGCAGTTCAGTAAAAAAGAAAGTTCCCATTATTAGTTTGGTGATTAGGTATAAGAGAAAGGGAGTTTGGTTTTTTGTTTTTGGTGGTGGTGGTGGTTGTGGGGCCTGGGCACTGTCCTTGAGCCTCTTTGTGCTCAAGGCTAGCACTCTACCACTTGAGCCACAGCTCTACTTCCAGTCTCTGAGATTAATTGGAGGTAAGAGTTTCACAGGGACTTTTCTGCCCAGGCTGGCTTCAAACTGCAATTCTCAGATCTCAGCCTCCTAAGTAGCTAGAATTATAGGGATGAGCCACTGGCCACCGGCAGAAGGAAATTTTTTGTTGTTGAAGTTTTTTACTTTTGTTTTCGTTGTTGAGGATCTCACTACATAACCCAGACCAGCATCAGACTCCTTGATTCTCCTGCCGCTACCTCCCAAGTGCTGGAAGGCTTGTACTGGTATGCAGGGCAGGGCTCTGCTCTGCTTGTTTTGTTAATGTAACACACAGGAAAATCTAAGCTTTGAGAAGCATTGAGGGAGCAAGCATGGCCCAACAACGTACTTCATCAGCTCTGGGTCCTCCTTGTCGTCCTTGGCCGGTGTGACCTTGAGTCCACTCTTCTTGGCACGTGGGCAGCCTGACAAGCTGGTTTGGGAAGAGGAAAACACACCAGCTCAATCCCAGAACAGCAGCTCCCTCACCCATCTGCCTCATCCTCCTCCCTCAGGAGAGAAAGATGACAAATGAGTCGATCTGTCAGTGAGTCAGTCCTACAGGTCCTATGGAGCAGAGTCAGCAGATATAGACTCTTCACACAGGACAGTGGATGGCGGTGGGGGGGGGGGCGGCGGGAGGATCTCTGTGAGCCTCTAGCTCTGATTCATTTATTCCTGCAAAAGGCCACATGACAGGTTCTGGAAGCATCAACAATTTGGAAAAGTTGAGAATGTGTTCTAGTTGTTAGCGATATTCATGTCTTACCCAGAACCTTGGAACTTTGTCTAAGGCAGAGACCACACACACCTTGGAAACAAGTTGCACTTACCTCCGGTGTGAAGCATAGTTCCCTGTTATGTGGCCGGAGCCATCACAGCCAGGGGTAGGGCACCTGTAGAGGAAAGTGGAATGAGACCATAGCCAAAGTGTGACTCCCTGGACTCAGTTCTCACCACATCTCATACCACCCCGTCCAGGACCCCAAACCACTACCCACTGGAAGTGCCTCTTTGCAGAGAAACATCGCCAATACTGCCAGCAACAAGTATCTGACAGGGTTATCCAGGGCCTCAGTCCTAACCCCAGTCACACCAGGAAGGTGGGGGGCTGAGGGGAAAGAACTCTGTGGGGCTCAACTTTATACCAGTTATAGGCCAGCATGTTGGGACCAGCCTTCTGGGTCCACTGCACCCAGAGAAGACCATAGGCTCTCAGTTCAGCCTGGACTAGAAGCATCCAGAACTCATCTGAGCCTTAGCTTTGAGCATGTGAGTTTAGGAAGGATGTTTATGAGTATCTTCTAGGTGGCCTCGGCAGAACTATCTAAGCTGGTGGCATTCTGGGTAGTAAGAATCAGGAGGGGAGACATACAACACAAACTTTATATACCCCGAAGGGTTTGATGCAGGTATCACACAAGGTGGTATAAATTACACTCTGATATTAGAACCACGGGGTTTCCCCTAAAGGACACAGTGTGAGGCACCCCAGGTGTGGGGTGGGGAGAAGGGGCTAACTCTTCAGGTGGACCAGGCTCCCCACCGGACCTGTTACTCTGCACCTGGCCCTCGTGAGGGTTCCAGCCTTCAGGAGCCAGGCAAGCTGCTTAACCAGAGAACTGCCCGAGGACATGCAGGCCTCAGAAGGGCTTCCTGCCTTCTGTGCAAAGACAATGTCCTCTCTCACCACTCTTCCATTGGCAACAGTCGCCTATTGTCCTTGGGTGCAGCCTAGCACCCAAAAAACTTTCTCGTGGCATGACAGAAGTTGTCTCACTCCCGGCAGTCTTCTCTCAGGCCCCTCCCCCGGGGCATCTGGGTTCTCCTACCCCTGCCCTGCAGCACACACTGGCCATGCCCCTGGCCATGCGTGGGACATGTCAGGGTATTGCACTCTCCAGAAGCTCATGTCCAAGGCACTGAAGATGGCTGACACTCCTTTTGTCCACTGGTCAGAAGGTCAGGTGGAGGCCCAGCATTCTGACTTTGTCCCACTGCCAGGGAAACACCCAGCAGAGCACAGGTCCAGTGCTGAAGGTGGTGTCCATTGAGAGCCCAACAATAGACCCACAGCAACCTGGCCTCAAATACAGCAAGTGCAGCTCCAAGCTCTGAGAGCAGCACCAGAGACGTGTGATGCCGATGGAAAATCTTAGTGCGTCTACATTCCCACGGTGCCAACAGGCACCTCGCATGGTACCATTCTGTTTGCTGAGACCTGATTTGATGGTTGCTTCTGCATCATACAAGATCCACAAGGAGAGGAGAGTATCCAGGGTCCTCAATACACTCCCTACGGTCCACAGCCACAGGATTAGCGGGAGGAACCAAAGCTCCCTCTACCCGTTTGTAGAGGTGCCTCTGTCCTGGTGGCATTCTGGGTCTGCCATCCTGGGAGGCCATCACCTGTCCTAAGCAGAGCCTATCACCCCCTAGCAGTTCTGCAGTTGCGCCCAAATGCCCTACATGAATGGGAAGCTGAGTATCCTGAGGTAGCCTCTGGCCACACACGAACAGGTGAGTAAATGCCCCTTGGATTTGCTTAAAGTACAGAAAACATATCCTAGAGTCTCAGCATCTGACATGGACAGAGAGGCCACCCAAAGAACCCTGTCTTCCCCAGCTTGGCCAGCATGACACCCGCTCAGCCAGAACAAGGAGCCAGAGGAGCACCGGTATACCAGAGAACACAGGGGGGCTGGCCAGTCTCAGCAAACCCACCCACCATTAGTGACACCACGGGATCCTCAGAAAGAGCTCTAGGACAAAGAAGAGCTTCAATATCTCAGCCAGCCAGCCACTCATTTCACAAAAAGGAAACTTTCCATTGCTATTTCTCTGTACGTTTGGGGTTAAAGTTCTTCCCCGGCATTGGTCCTCTCAGCAGCCACGTCTCCTGACAGGATCAGGCAAACTTCCCTCTGTCAGCCGTAATGTTCTGATTGAAGGACCACACCACTAGCTCTAATGCTATTGGAAAGCTATGAAAACTAGCCATAGTTAAGAAAAAAAAGCAGAATTGGAAAGAAAAAAAAAAGAATACAAGGAAAATGGCAAGAAAAGAAATGGGGGCAGACTACAGGACTGAGTGTGCAAGATTTGGTTTGGGGACCAGACAGAGCGGGACAGTGAGGACATGAGTGTGAAGCTGTCAAGGTGTGACCTTTGTATTCATAAGCACGAGAGTTGGGCAGAGACGAGTTATGGGGGTGCTAGAAGCCCAGGAATTTGTCCCAAAGAGTCCTTCAGTATTCCAATTCCTCATCCCAGAGGGACCAGTACCCAGTTTCTTTCTGGCTCTAAAACAAAGCTCTGGCCTGGATTCAGACCATAAAAATGCAAAGGAGGAAGGGCCAGACCTGCTGGAAAGACTGAGTAACAAGAAAAGTTCTTCTCTCCAACATCTCTGCTTAGCTCCAGGCTAAAGCTGAGGCCCCCACAGCCCTGGGTCACAGCTCAACAGCAGGCATGAAAACCAAAGGCAGTGGGAACCCCAACCAGCCCCAAGAGCACAGATGCCCGGAAACCTCTGGGTGCTTACACTCCACTTGCGCAGGGCTGCCAGGCAGGCCTAAGGGTGACCACAGAGCCTGCCTGCCCGTGTGTCAGGACAGGGGCTCAGAAGCCAAAGGAGGGGTCAGCAAAGAGAAGGCAAAGACATGGACAACTGGGAAAGCTCCTGAAAGAGACAAAGCAGTGGGAGTGCAGGAGGAGGAAGAGAAGAAGGGGGAGGAGAAGGGGGCGAGGGAGGGGAGGGGGGAGGGGGGGGAAGAAAAGAAGGGGGAGGGGAGGGGGAGGGGAGGAAATAAGAGGAAGGGGAGGGGGAGGAGGAGGTGGTAGGGGAAGAGGAGAGGGGGAAGAGGGGAGAGCAGGGAGAGGAGGAAGAGGAGGAGGGGAGGGGAAGGAGGAGGAGGAAGAGGAGGAAAGCAAGACACTTTCAATCATGAGTACCAGTTCATTTGGCAAGAGCGCAACAGCCTGCAGCCACCAAGCCTCAGCCAGTGCCAGGACTTTCCCGTTCAGGACAAAGCAAGCATGCTAGGGGCCTTAGGAGAGGCTGGGGGAGGGGTTAGGCAATGCAGGAGCCTGAAGCAGCCCCACCACCACCAAGGGGAGAGGGAGCAGGGTCAAGGCAAGGGTCATAGGCACTGTAGGCAATGGCAGCCCAGCCAAGCAGTCAGTCTTTCCTCAGCCCTGCCCCTCTGTCCATCCCAGGAGAGAAGGGGCCAGCCTGGGGCGGTGCCTCGGAGAAGGCTGGGAACCTCATGGAGGAGAGAGCAAAGCAAGGGTGCTGGCCAAAGACAGGAGGTCAGGGAGCGCAAACATACTTGAGGTCAGCAGAGTGGGCAGCCATGAGGTTTCTGAGGCTCTTGTCAGCAAGAGGGCAACCAGAGAGGCTGAAAGAGAAGAGATGGGATAGGGGTAAGCCACAGAGGGGGAGCAGAGGAGGACAGGAGGAAGACCCCCCACAAAGCACCGCGGCCAGGCCAGGAGCAGGGCACAAACCTGCGGTGGGAGGCATAGTTCCCGGTGATGTGGCCACTGCCGTCACAGCCGGGGGTGGGACAGCTGGACAAAGGAAAAAGAGAGTCAGGACAGAGAGTGATGCACACCTGCAGGCCTGTGCCAGGGTGAGCCAGCTGCAGGCAGGCAGCTAGCCCAGGTCCCCATCCTTGAATGACCACAGCCCTCACCTCTTGGACTGGCACACTCACACACAACTTAAGAAGGAAAAGTAGAACTTGAAGTCAGGGTGCCTCTGAAGCTTGCGCTATGTTTGTACCTGTGTGCGGTGTGCACATGTATGTATCCATGAGCATGTCAGTGGGTATGCCTTCCCTCTCCAGACAGTGAAGCAGCATGACCTTACCTTAGGGCCAGAAACAGCCGCCCTTGAGGAGCACCAGCCCCAACTCAGGTTCTGAACACAGACCTGGGCTGGGCCACTAGTGGCAAAGGTGCCAGACATGGAGAGCCCCTCACAGTCCCCTAGGGAAAGGGTTAGTCCTGCCTGTTTCAGCCCTAAAAGGATCTTCTCAAGAGAAGGGCTGGAATCCAGAGGCTACTGCGGCTGAGGACTGGTCTCTGTGCCTGGTGAGGGCATCTTGTGGACCTCTCTGCTCCTGAGTCCCCATCCCCCACTCCGCCCTGCACTCTGCTTTGCAGCCTTGGGTGAGGGTTCTCCCTCATTCTTAATTGATTTTAGAGGGTTGTGTTATCACCCAGCACAGCACAGGAACAGGAAGTTTCCATCACTGTGTGAGCTGCCTGGTGAAAGGCAATCAGCCCAGGCAGACAAAGCCCTGAACTGAGAAAACCTGTTGGCATGGGCTAGGACCAGACGTATTCTTCCCAGACTCTTAAGAGGCCAGCAACTGAGGCAGAACTTACGTAAGCAGCTCCTTCTTTATGTCCTTGGAGAGAAACTTCAGCTTAAAGTTGGTCAGGGTAACTTCCCCCGGGTACTTTCGCTCCTCAAAGTTCTCTTCTGACACTTCCTGGTCATCTGCTTCAGAAGAAGCAAAAGAATGTGCTGCTGGCTCTGACTGCAAAAAACCAGCAAGGAAAGGTTTTAACAACTGTCAGGACAGATACCCAACCTGGTGGGCAAGGAAGAAGGACCCTGAGGGTAGTGTCCATAAGGCGAATCTTATCATCTCCTACCTTACAGAGAAAGGAAGGCCAAGCTACACGCACATGCACGCACGTACGCGGACACACAGACCACACAGACACACAGACACACACACACACATTAGGCCGGGACTCCCTACACCACAGCTCCTAAGCCACTTCAGAGACAGGACCTTTCCTCCACCAAGTCACTCACAAGATGAACACCTGACTGTAGGGTCCTTTGGGGCTGGGATGGTTCCATGAAGCTAAGCTTGATGACAGTGATGACAGAGCTTGTGAAAAACTCAGTGACCTTGAGAGATAGCCCCTTTCCTGGGCCCCCTCACTGTGGCTTGGTCACAGCAGGCACGTCACAAACGCCATCTAAGCACTAGTTCTGGGGGACATTTGTTCACCATGGGCAGCCTTAGCCCTGAGGCACAGGGGCAAGGGACAGTTCTTCACATAGAGGTCCAAGCATCCCACAGAGTCAGAACAGTAACACCCTATAGGACAGCTGCTCAGAGGTCACATTACCGCAGGTCCTATTAGCTTGTTCAGACTCCATCTCACAAAGAGGAGGGCCTGTGAGATGCCAGCCAGCAGGCCAGCTTTGGGTAGTCAGTGCTGTCTGAACAAGCCTCTGGGAAGGCGATTTGTTTTTCCCAAGCAATTAAATAAAGCTCCTCAGAGAGCATACTTGGCTAAGTCTCCAGGATAAGTGAGTCTCCAGGAAACAGAAGAGGGGTTCTAGAGGTCTTTGGAAACGAAGGGCCTGGAATACCTAGGGACAGTATAGAAGCCTTGAGCCGGGCTGGTTGGAGCATTTGAAACAGGAATCCAATGGAAGAGGGACAGGAAAAGGCATTTCTGGAGCTGAACTGTGCCTAGGAGAGGAGTGGGGAGAGAGAAGGTTTAGGGATGAGTCAAGGCTGCTGACTGCAGACTGTTAGACATTGCCAGAAGGTGGAACCTGGGGCAGGCTGTGGTGGTGGGATCTCAGGACTTCTCAGCGATCAGCCTGAAGATGGGCAACAATGCTCTGAGGCAGAGGTCTACAGCAGTAGGAGGAGATCAGAATTGAGCCAGGGCCAACACACAGGCAAGGAAGGGGACTAGAACATCTATCCACCAAGGAGACCAAGGAAGCACCTAGCCAAGAAGTCATGGCAACTAGGCTGGAATAGAGCAGGAATGTTAGAAGTTTCAAGACCCAGGATGAGAAAAGACAACGGAGACATTACACAGAGAACACCCCTACCTCTAACAGAGCCCCAACTCACCAGACCCAGGCAGACATAACTCCTGGTATGCTTCCCTCCTTTGAAGGATGAGCCCAGGACCCCTCTTCTGAGGCCTACCACCCAAGGGTACTAGAAGTTTAGGTCAGTGACTGAGCCACATGATCTAAACTAGAGATGCAGTCTTCCCCTCCAAACATGGGGTGACCCTGAGACCCACAGAAGGATGGTGTGAGGGTCTGATTAGGGGCCTGCCTCCCCCTCCTCAGGGTGTCTGGCCCTTCTTACCAGAGATCCCCTCCAGAGGAGCCTGGGGAGGGGAGGAGTGTGGAGCACTCAGGCTTCACACAGGAGGCCTGGCCTCTGCTCCTGGAAACAGCCCGCTGTGGGGAAGCCCTGGGCAGCCCATATCTGAGACTCTTCATGTCATGGTTAGGAAGATAGAACAATTAGAAGAGGAATGCTCCACAACTCTGACCCTGATGCCTAGCCTATCATTGCCTCTTTCCCTGATTCTCCTTGTCTCGGGAAGTCAGGGCACTACCTGTCATGGGGACCCCGAGCCCAAGCCCCTGAGCCAAGAGTTTCCTTACTGCCCTTGTCAAGGAACCAAGTGGCCAAACCTGTCTGGACACCAGATAGGCTCCACTGGTTGGCGGAAACCAAGGGAACCTGAACCTTTCTCAAGTCATCCCCACCACCTGAAATAAATCTCTCTTCCCCTATAGCTTCAGGAACTCACACAGTACTGGATGCCCTGTTCTCCAGGGCAGAACACCTCTCTCAACGTACAATATGACCCTACATGACCCCCTCCCGGAAGTCAGACCCTGAGTCCCAGCTGTTCTGACAGTGAAGGACCCTATGTGAAAAGTGATGGACTCCAAAACAGCTGCCTGAATTCTCCTAGGAAGAGTTTCCTAAAGAGCAGGCACAGTCCACAGCAGCCCTGCACGCAGGAGCCACCAACCTGCTCTCCTGGCCCCCAGCCCCGGCACCCACCTCCTCAACCTCCTCTTCTCGCTGACGGCTGGGCTTGGTGTAGTCTAGCGGCCGGTCCCACTCATCCGGGCGGGAGGCCTGGCTGGACTGGGGTGAGGTCATGGAGCTGCTGGGGGCACTGGTGCTACTCTGGCGCTGGGAGACATCAGGAGACTTGAGGCCAGGGCTGCTGCTACAGCTGCTGCTGCTAGGGAAAGCATTTTCCCGTTTTCGGTGTTTGTGCATACTCAAGTCCAGAGTTCCATTTTCATCTACCTCAATATCCACAGACTACAATTGCAAAGGTGAAGAAATATATGTTAGAGAGCCCAGCCCTTCCCATCTGTGCTTCTGGTACCGCTACAGATCTACAGAAAGCCTCAAACACTGACTCTCACGGGAGGAAGCACAGCAACCAGATGGACAGTGCCCAAGAAGGGCATGTGATGGAGCCCTCTGGTTCCTCTCACCTCCAGACAGCACAGAGCTAGCCCCATGAGACATGCTGCCAGGCTGGGTGACACTAGGCTCTTCTGTCGAAAAGCGTGGCACATACATGACGCTTGTAGCACAGTACACAAGACTGTCTCAGGGAGACCCATTCATCCTGTTTGACTATTTGGACCATGACCAGAAGGGAGCAAAGTTAAGAATGGGAAGTATCACCAGGTGCCAGTGGCTCACGCCTGTCATCCTAGCCACTCAGGAGGCTGAGATCTGAGGATCACAGTTCAAAGCCAGCCCAGGCAGGAAAGTCCATGAGACTTTTATTTCCAGTAAGCCACCAGAAAACCAGAAGTGGTGCTGTGGCTTAAGTGGTCTTGAGCTGAAGAGCTACGGGACAGTGCCCAGGCCCAGAGTTCAAGCCCCACAACAGATGGAAAAAAAAAAGAAAAAGAAGAAAAGAATGGGAAGTATCAACTAGACCCCACTGGAAGCCAGTGTGCTTAACTGAAAACTACCTACCCCCCCCCTCCTTCAGAGGCACTACGGGGTCACGCCCACCTTGCTGGGGAAGTCCTGTGGCTTTGTGCTGAGGTTCTCTGGCATCTCCCAGCACCGCGTGGAGAGGTTCAAGATGGCAGTGGCAGCCATGTGGGCCGCCTCGGCGTCGTGCGAGTAGTCGAAGCCTGCAGAAGAGGGTGAAGTGCTCCTCAGATAACCACGGGGGGGAGTGCTCCCCCGGGAGGGGGCCTTTGGGGAAGGTTTGGCTGCAAAAAGGGAACAAAGCTGCGCTGACATGAACCTGAACAGACACATCAGATGCATGGTGAAGTCCGGGGTGCTGTGACGTTTGTGGCCAGCCACCCCCCCAGGTCCACCCACACCTCCTCACCACCCCCTTTTCCAATACAAAGGAGGCATCTCACTTCTGACCTGACCAAAATTTGGAAAGAAGGAGAAAAACTCTATAAAGCACACCATGAGCACTGACCAAAAACCGTTCCTGCAAATCTAGGGCAAACAAAAATAACTTGCCTACCAGCAAATGCCTAAAGAAACTAAGGAATTCCTAATAGAGTGTTGAAAGGTCATGCACATGGAAACTTCTGTCACCTCCTCTCCATAGGCATTACATCTAGCTAACTTTGTGTCCCCAGTAATAGTCACTGCTACTTTAATAAAGCAGCAGTAGGACTCCACAATGAAGGCATAAAATGTTATCCTTTCTACCAACTATACTGCAGCCTAAAAAAATCACTCACATGACACCCTGAGTATCCAGGAAACAAGAAAGATCCAAGTATATGGAAAGTTCATTGTAAGTCCCTCCTTAGAAGCACTATCCATCGCACATCTCTATGTGGACCCCAGCCTCAGCCTCACTAGCAGCATCTACTGACATCAGAAAGAGACCCTCCAGCCCAGGAGCAACCAACCCAAGGAATTTTACTAATTTAGAAAATTAATTCCTGCTACCTGGGGTAAATGCCTGGCCCAGTCCCATATGTGTACTGGCTGTTTTTTTTTTTTTTTATCTCATATGCATTTCCAAGGCTGATGGGCTTGTCATTCAAAAATGTGTATGGTTAAGTTGCAAGAAAAGGCAAGGAAGCCAAGCACCAGTGCATTGCACTTGTAATCCCAGCTCCTCAGAAGGCTGAGATCTGAGGACCATGGTTTGAAATAAGCCCAAATAGCAAAGTCGGTGAGACCAAAAAGCTGGAAGTGGAGCTGTGACTAAAGTGGTAGAGCACACTAGCTTTGAGCACAAAAAGCTCAGGGACAGTGCCCAGGCCCTGAGTATAAGCCTAGAACCAGCATGCACACACACACACGCACACAGAGGGGCAGGGAAGATTGCCGTAGATTTGCAGGAATGGTTTTTTGTCAGTATACTTGTCTAGAAAATGTGTTGCCAATGTCACAAATAACATTACTTCCAGTAACAGTATCCTTCCTTCCAGGATCCTACCCTACTTAGTCCTTCAGCTTGATTCTTTCCAGCAACAATGTTAGGGAACAATTGCACTGAGAGAGAAGTTCTCCCTCGTGTCAGTAAGTTATTCACATCTGTAATAGATCTGGTGTTTGCTTCACGAATCACTAGGAAACGCTCAAAGTGAATGTAGATGGAATGCAAGCCTTGATTTTTGCTTCACAAATCATAAAGACACATACACACTAAGTGAGTGTGAGTGAGATCCACAGCCCAGGGAGGCCTCCACAGAGCCTCGTCAGGCAGCTGAGCTTAAGGTGAAACCTCAGGTCTGCAACCCAATCCCTCCTATCTTCTCAGGGCATTCCTTCATCCTCAGAAGCAACATGGGAGGACAGACAGACAAGAGCATTCTCCCCAACTTACACTGGAAGGCTTTGGGTGAGGTTTCGCTGGTCTGAATCTTTGGGGCAAGCATACGTTTGCCAAAAACCTGAGCGTCAAAACTTGCGTAGTCGAAGGTAACCTTGGAGAACTTCTCCAACTCCTTGGCCAGGTTAGCCCTGGGAGTGGTGGGAGCTACATTGGGACGGTAGCTCCCATAAGGAGGGACCTCGAGCTGCTTCACGAAGCACATGGGTCTGAAGAATAAGATAAATGAACAGCCGGTGAGGACGCAACCCCGAGATCCCAGGTTAACCCCTCCCATCCAATGTCCTAGGCAAGGACCTCACACACCCAAGCAAGAATGGAGACCCATCTCCCATATCCTGCTCCTAGAAGCTGGTTATGAAGTATGAAGAGTATGAAGAACCCCGGAGACAGGCCGTAAACAGTATGACAAAGGGCGGCCTGTAAGGAGGAAACAATAGTATGTCCACTGGCAGCCAAAGGAAAGGCCTGAGACTTAGGAGAACTTAGGCCAGAGCTCAGGCGAGCAGGCATCCAACAGCTCAGCAACAGTTAATGAGGTCTTGGCAGAAAGCCCAACGGCAGCACAGCTGAGCACCATAGCGGACCACTAGAAGGCAGAATTCTAGGGGCAAAATAATCTAGCACTTCAGCAAAAGCGAGAATTAGGGCATGGTGGGTTAAGAGCAGAGGTTTCTATGTCCTTCAGGCAATGCCTCCGTTCTTGAAGTGGGCGTCAGACGGCCCTGAAGGAGCTGCTGGAATGGTCACCAACAACAAAAAGGGACGTTGTGATTACCCAGTTCATTGTTACTGGTTCAGGGAGAGTTGTTGGGAAACAATGCACCCAACACAGGATGTAGAAAGGAAGATGAGCTGTGGGGACTGAGACAGTAGAGCACAGAAGTGCTTTGGAACAAACTGGCTCAGAGAGATCAAAAAGAAAAGGGGCCCAGGTGGCTTTCTAGCTCTCATTCTTTCTGACTGGACAAAGCAATACCCTTGAGCATGATGATGAAAACCTCTGAAGACTGAACACTTATAGAACTTCAGTGTGGTCTGAGAAGAGAATCACTGGGCTGGCCCTGCAAACCACAGAGCCCACTCTAAAGGGGCTAGGAAGACCAGATACCAGCAGGGATAGGGTGAACCCAAGGTCCAAGAAGAGTGGGAATCCATACTGGACACGCCCAGCCGGATCTGGAGAGGCTGCAAGAGCAAGGTCAACTAGCCACTGGCACAGAGACATTGGCTTTGATCTTAACAGATTCTCTTGGCCAGGCTTGAGCCAGTATCTGCACACTTCATGTTGGAGACATGCAAAGCTTTGCAGCACTAACACTTACAACCTAGGGTAGGACTCCAGAAATATAGGCCCCAGATAGAATCAACAGTTTCATGAAAGGTTTCTGTGTCATGCTGCCATTACGAGTCCTGGCAAGTGTTCATCACGGGGAGGAAGGCAGAATGTCACTGGAGTCTCATGAGACTTTGTTTGCTGTCTGCTTTTCACAGGTGGATATTAACGAAGGCCAGAGTCCCAGAGAGTGAAGTCTCAGAGCCTGTCCTCTCACAGACATCAAGCAAAGTCACATCCAGGCCTCTTTTGACATTTCTGTCAGTCTTACACCAAAACACGGGGAAAAAAATCAAATAATAACTGAGAGGAAGCTAGAAGTAAGAGCAAATAAGACAGAGTAAAAACCGTCTGAGAGCCAACTGGTGGGACTATGCCACCGGGGACCAGCAGAGTTAAAAGTGCCAATGGGTAGGACTTGAGTGCTCCAAAGACTGGGAATACCAATGTGGCTGGAGAGCCAGAGCTATAGTGCGGGGGACTGTTCTTTAACATGGCATAGCCTAAGTGGGCAGCTCCCATCTGGCTGGAGTGTGCCAGGAAAGGAAGAGGGCAGAAGCTGGGGGGCTACAAGAACAGAGCAGTGGCATACCACCCTTGTCTCCCACTCATGTGCGAGGAGACAGAAATGGAACAGGTGTCTAAAACACAGGAAGAGGAAAACATAAGTCAGTCCTAGTTTCTCAGAGAAATGAAGAGCAAAGTGTCCTCTGAGTGAGAAGAGCAAGTAGGGAAAGGAAGGAGTGTCCTCCCAGCCAACTGCACCTGTGCTTCCAGGACTCATACCCCCACACCTACAGAGACAGTAGTGGACTGCACTCCAGAGACATCTCTGAAGACAGGCTGGGGGGGGAGCCTCAGGTGAGTCCCTCAGGCTCTGATCTTACGTGTGACATCCACTTTCTAGGGTCTCCTGAATGGGGGACTAAGCAGATGTGCTCTGGACAGCCCTTCAGAATGCTCCTTGTTGGTGGAAGTACATTTATTCATGCACTTGCACACTTGTCTAAACATACTCACATGGATGCATACACAGCAAATGGTTACTCAGACACACATACACATACCTACCTGCACACAGGCCAGCAGGTGACCATACAAAAGGAGTACTTTGGGGAGCAAGGCTTATGCCCCCCCTCATCTTGTGTATGGTCAACTCTGGGATGGGAGAGAAAAGAGAGCAGCCAGATGCTTCCTGCTTAAAATGCTCCTTCCCACTGGCACAGTCTCTCTCTGCACATGGTTCCTCCAATAGAGGAACTGATCGGGTTAGATGTCTTGAAAGAGGGCAAGGCCTGAGGCTAAGGCCAGACAGCCAGGCAGATATCTACACCTTGGTTGGGGCCCTAGAGAGCTTGACAGCTGTGAGACTGGCCCTGTATGCCGAGGTACACATGTGTTTGTACACACACACACACACACACACCACCTGAGACTGAGCGAGGGACCCTGCCGGCAGGCATCTAGGACATAGTCCTTTCCATTTTGTGGCTTATCTCACCCACCTGAGAATCCGATCTGAATTGGAGCTATTCTTGGAAGGGTCTCCCGCCTGTGGCTGCTGCTTCTCATGAGACTTGGCTAATTTTTCAGCAGCAGCAATCGGACATCCAGACAAACTAGAAGAATGAAAAGGACAGACATTGAGGCATTCCCCAGCCCAGGCCTGTTCCAGGAGCTGCAGGGTTGTGAGGCCCAGAGTCAGGAGCATAACTGACATTCCAACAGGACAGGGCTTTTTGTCCAGCTTTGTCCTATGTTCTCAACATATAGGCTTCTCAGTCCATTTTTGCTTAAGAAAGTGCAAACCTTGGGCAGACCCCCTCTTCTCCATGGGTCAGTCACTAAGCTCGCTCCTCACCTCCCTCCTCCCCTCTTCAACTCCCAAGGTTGGAATCTGGAACCAACTCTGAATCACATTGTCAAGGAAACTGACCACAACCTGGACACAGTACTTGCAAGATGCCTATCCTCCCCTGGAAAGCATCTTCCCCTCAAAAGAGAAGAAGGGAACAGGTTCATCTGTCAGTGCCAACTCCTAGACTGTGGGGGTCACACAATCACACCGACTTGGGCACTTGACTCTTTTTGAACAAAGTGGTCTTGAAAGCCCTGGCGACTCTCCCAGCTAAGAATGTGCCCACTGGGGCTCAGACACACCCTACAAGATTACCACCTGCTGCTCTCCAGGTGGGTATGGGTCTGATCCATTCTCACGGAGGAAAACAAGACAACTGAATGGACAGTGAGCAGAAGCCTTGTGACCACTGGTCTTGGAATTCCTCCAAAGCAGCCCCAGAGTGCAGCCTTGGCCACTGAGTTCCCTGCTTATGTTCTCAATTGTTTCCTTCCACCCACAGACAGGAGATTTTCCAAAAGTGGACAGGCTGTGACGCCCACAAGGGCATGAGACTTCTCAGACAAGGTGCACGTGTGCCCCAGCTCACAGGGTGCTAGCTACAACACCCTGATCTGGTCTCACCAGCTGCCACCTGCCCAAGCAAGGACACAGCATTTCTCAGGAGCTACATGCCTGCCCAGAGCCATTCCAAGACAAGGGCCCTGGGACAGATCTGGCAGCCCGCATCCCCACCTCGGCCCAGCTCAAACCAGTACCTTCTATGTGTGTTTCGGTTGCTGTTCACGTGGCCCTGGCCTGTGCAGCCAGGAGTGGGGCACTTTAGCACGTTCTCATGCATGGCCAAGACTGTAGAAGAAGCAGGGAGGACAGATGTGAGCAGGTGTGCTTAAGGGGTCAGTGCACGGAGATCCAGGAGCCCTCCAAAGGCTTTATAGGCAGAGGGAAGCCGTGACAGCCTGAAGCAACAACCCTGGGCAGCTCCAGACCAGAACCACAAATGCGAGCACTGTCTCCAGCCAACTTGGGTATGTGCCTTCCTGCTGTTTTGCAACTCTAAACCTAATTTCCACAATTTCTTCATCCAGACAAAGGGTTAAGCTTTCAGACACAGAGGTCACAGAAAACATAGCCATTGCCTTTCACAATATGCATCTGTACAATCTATCAGGGACTCTGATCCAACCTGGAATTTCTAGGTGGAGATCTGAGCGAGTTACATCCCCTGCCTTATATGACTCAGATTTGGGCTTATGGCGCTTGAGGGAATAAGAATGAGCATTTGGGAATCCCAAAGGGACAGGGCTCTGGGCAGGCTACCCCTTCCAGTGGACATGTCTAATACCACAGGAGCCTGAGCCTCGGGCTGTGAAGCTACTTACTCTCTGGCGGGATTCTATCCTTGTGGGGACAGCCAGACAAGCTGCGGTGGTGAGGGTACAACCCAGTAACATGGCCAGTTCCATCACAGCCAGGTGTTGGACACTTGATCTCACGCTTCTCGGTTCTGGAAGAATCTAAAACATACAAGATACACCCCATAGAGCCAGGAGGCTGGGTAGTGGTTGTAAGAAGAAAGAGACAGATAAAACTTCTTCCATCGTTCTGAATATCCAGAAGCAAGGGGTGTGAGACTGCTTAGGAGCCAAGAGGGGCCAGAGCGGGAAAGCGGGAAAGCTGGAATCTTCTTTAGATAGGCCTAAGCCAGTGGCTCTCTCCTACCCTAAATGCAGGGGGGCAAACTTTTGAAGAAAACAGTCCAGGTCGTGGCTGCAAACAGCTATGGAGGCCTCATAGATGAGTGCATTTGTCACTCTCCCTGACAAAAGGTGACTTTGGGCTTTGATGAAATGAAGAGAACAGAGGTTAAGTCATTTACCCAAGGCTGTGTGACAATTAAATGCCTGAACAAAAAAAAAAAAAAGTCAGTCATCGTTACTGACCTCTCCTGGCACTGATCAGCCCAGGCACAGGCACACTGTAAGTATGGGGACTAGAAGAGGATCCTCAGAGGGTGGCTGGAGTCTGGATAGGCTACACCAGAGCCAAGCCCAGAAACCCAGCACCACAAAAGGCAGGCCTGGCGGAGGGCTCCAAAGAAAAGAAGCCCTGGCTCTGCCCTTCCAGATTTGAATGGACAGGGATTCAGGTTTCCACTCATCTGGGCAACAGAGTATCCTGAGGGGC